AAAAACTGAGCTTAAATAAATGATTAGCGGTAATAAAAGCCGAGGGAGGTCAACAGTGATCACTGACTGTTTTAGGATCTTTTTGAGATTAAATAGAAGTAAATACAAAACATTAAACATGTTAACAACACAAAAGCCATATTAAACGCAGACTACTTTAGGCCACGTCATCACTTAACGACCGGATAATTTATCACCTGTTCTTCAAATGTTTGAATCAAGGAGAAGCAAGTTAGTGCTTATGTTGTTTTTTGCTTGATAACAAAAGAATAAACATGGATGAGAGCATAGTTTAAGACAGAAAACCATTCAGTGGTTACAGCTTAAATTTAATTGGCTTTTTAAAAACAAAACTGTTAGCATGGATGTTAGCTGAGGCTACTCACTGAAAGCATGTTCACAGTCTGGATGGCCGTTGATCCACTGCTTTCACATTTTACATTTCACTCTTTATTTGGCGTCACGTCTTCGCTCCTAGGTTGTTATGTCTTTAGCCAGATCTTTGGACCAGTGGCAATACTAAAGCGGGTGAGTGTCAATAGCCTCTCAGCCTGCTCCAGCTCCAGTGACTGTTAGATACGGAGTCATGACTCGCTGTGTTCTGTGCTATCCCCTGAGCTTTAGCCACTCTGATCTGATGAGCTGAAAACCAATAAAGAGAGAGCACGAAGCCGGCTGGCTTACTCGGTCTCCTCGACCTCCCGAACAAAGCAGCAAGAGGTCAGCGTTGCTTCATTTTTTTTTGATTATAGTCACTTTATTTTTGAATGTTTAGACTTTAGGTTAGAGGGAAAACACCAGTTTTATCTTTAATTATTATTACTGATCAGTTTGAAGTCATCTTAAATAAAACTACCCACACTTTCTCACTCTTCTGCTCTTACAGTGATAAAACTGTGTTTTTTTTCCACATTCGGAGAGCATTTGGCATTTGAGAAAGCACAGCTTTGTCTAAAGCTCTGCCTCAGTATCTGATATGTGTCAGTTGGTTTGGGTAGAAACACACAGTTGGACCATGTATCACAGTTGGCAGTGAAGTTGTTATTCTTCACTAAAAATAAGCCCGCTGTCAATAAGTGTTGACTTGTCAGTGGCAGGTGTTGATTGGAGGGTTGCGTGTTTGCTCGCTTGGTGAAAGGTGTTCGCGTCCCAGAGGCGATGAAATTAATAAGCTGATAAATAAGCCTCGAATTTAATGAAGGTGCTTTTTATTTGGGGACGGTAATTATTTTTAAAGGCTTTTCTACAGATGTCGCAATGTTCAGTCGATCTAAAGATGATGGAAGTCGTTCCGTTGGATGATTTTTATGTAACTGTGCGGCAAAACCACCCTTTGCTTCGATTATGCAGAAGCCAGATTACTGTGCACATGTTAACTTAGCCACATGTGGCTGATTGCGAGAATAGTGGGAGGAAAAGTGCGATAAAGTGCAGAAGAGCGCACTTAGAGTGTGAGCTACGGTGTGACAGTATTTTAAACTGAGAACAATGTAGGAAATACTTCCACTATCAGTTCCTGCTTTAGATCCAACAGCAGCTGTGTCGTTTCCATTTGCTTTCCTGTTCAGTCGTAGTCTTGTTTTCTTTTTTCGTGCCTTTGTTTCCACTGATAAATAACTTTCTTAGCTCTCAGAGTTTTCTAATCTCTAATCTCCCTTTCAGTGACTGAAGAATGCTTCTTTATTTCTATGATTTATTATTTTGCATGCATTACGAAAGCAAACCAAACGAGGAAAAACAGCAAAAGGCTTTCAGCTAATGGCCGTGGGTCTCAATTAGCTGAAATCCTTCATTAAACAGCCGAGCCTTGAGTGCCTTTTGTTCCCTTCGAGCAGAACCGTCACAAAGCGACATCATTTTTGATGGAAACGTTTTGGCTGTAGTTGTCAAAGTTGTTGTTGTTGTTGTGTTATTTTCCCTCTTTTTCTTCTGATTCTTTTCTCCGCTCTCCAAAAGCGGCGCCCTCCTCCACAGTGCCGGCTCCATCGTTGCCCTTTTAATGAGGTGATATCCAGACACACGGGAGCAGATGTTGCAAGGAAAACACACTGTGACGTGATTGTGATCGATGCGCACCTCCCACCGCATCCACTGCATAATTCGGTGGATGGCATCAGGATAACAACCTGCATTATGTGGAGACAGCTGTCGCCACAGAGCCCGGGCAGCCACGGTATTGGCTCCCGCCTTATTTCAGGCAGAGGCGGGAAGCCAATTAGAGTGATTTACAGCTTGCTTGTGTCGTCAACACCTTGAAACTTGTGTTCCAGTCCGGACAAATAAAATGCATGGCTACCTGGCAGCAGGTTTATTTATTGGCTAAATATAATGTAATTTTGCTCCAAGCAGAAGCTAATGTGAACATATTCTTTAAGAGAAGCAAAGAGGGTCGAGTAAATAACATCAGCCTTCATTAAATTAAACTTACAGAACTTTAGATGCGTCCCCTTGTTTCTGATTGTTGCTTGTGCAGCTTTTCTGCAATGATCTATCATTATTATGCTTTTTTATAATATAAATTTGCTAACTTCAACGATGTAAATGAGTGGAGGCAGCAGATTTGAAGGTTTTGCGGTGATAAATCAGATATGCAGCGTTTGATGACACGGTGATGGGATGGGAAACGTGTGAATTCACATGGCTGCCATGTAGAAAGGGA